TAGTTTGTTTAGTGTTTTTATGGTAAAATTTGAATTTTGACAAAGTTGTTAGTCAAATGCTTTTTCTGCATCAACTGAAATAATCATGTCAATTTCTTCATTATTCTGTTAATTTGGTGTGTTATACTGACTGATATTTATTTGGTGTAACATTCTTGCATTCCAGGAATAAATCTCACTTGATCACTGTGTATAACCCCTTTAACCTGCTATCAAATTCTGTTTGCCAGTATTTTGTTGAGGATTTTTCCATCAATATTCATCATGATGGTCTCTTGTTTTATTTTCTTGTAGTATCTTTGTGTGTGGTTAGTATTAGACTATCTCTGGCCTCAGAGAATGAGTTTGAAAGCGTTTTCTATTCGTCAATATTTTGGGAGAGTTTGACAAGGATTGGTGTTAAATCCTTAAATGTTTGATAGACTTCATCAGTCAAGCCATCTGATTCTAGGTTTTCTTTGTTGAGAGATTTTTGATAACTGCTTTGATCTCCTTACTCCTTATAGATCTATTAAGGTTTTCTGTTTCATCTTGACTTTGTCTTGGTAGACTGTATTTCTAGGAATATATCCATTTCATCTAGGTTAAACAATTTATTGGTGTATAATTGTTCCTATTAATTTCTCATAATCCTTTTTATTTCAGTGAAATCAATTGTCATGTCCCCACTTTCATTTCTCATTTTAGCCATTTGAGCTTCCTCCTTTTTTTTTTTTTTTTTTTTTTTTTTTTTTTTTTTTTTTTTTTTTTTTTTTTTTTTTTTTTTTTTTTTTTTTTTTTTTTTTTTCTAGACAGAGTCTCGCTGTGTCGCCCAGGCTGGAGTGCAGTGGTGCTATCTCGGCTCACCGCAAGCTCCGCCTTCCGGGTTCACACCATTCTCCTGCCTCAGCCTCCTGAGTAGCTGGGACTACAGGCGCCACCACCACGCCCAGATAATTTTTTTGTATTTTTAGTAGAGACGGGGTTTCACCGTGTTAGCCAGGATGGTCTCGATCTCCTGACCTCCTGATCCACCCGCCTTGGCCTCCCAGCGTGCTGGGATTACGGGTGTGAGCCACCGCGCCTGGCTCCTTTTTCACAGTTGTTCTAGCTAAAGGCTTGACGGTTCTGTTCATGTTTTACATAGTCAACCCTATGTTTCACTAATTTCTCTATTGTTTTTCTAGTCTCAATTTTGTTTATCTCTGCTGTAATCTTTATTGTATCTTTTTGTGTGCTAGATGTGTGAAGTGTCTTCTTTTTCTACTTCCTTAAGGAATAAAGGTACGTTGTTGATTTAGTTGCTTTATAGTATAAACATCTACAGCTATAAAATTCCTTCTTAGTATTACTTTTTCAGCATCTCACAAGTTTGAATATATTGTGTTTACATTTTAATTTCTCTCAATATATTTTCTAATTTTCTTTGTGTTTTTTTCTTTGACCCATTGGTTACTTAAGGGTTTGTCATTTAATTTCCACACATTTGTAGGCTTTCCAGTTTTCCTCCTGCTATTGATTTCTAGTTTCATTCCATCGTAATAAAAAAAGGTACCTTGATGATTTTAATCTTTTAAGTGTATTAAGACTTTTTTGGGGGCTTAGCATATGGTTTATCCTGAACTATGCTCCATGTATACTTGAGAACGAAATGTGTATTCTATTGTTTTTGGGTGAAGTGTTTTGTATATGTCTGTCAGTTTCAATTGGTCTATAATGTTGTTCAAGTCTCCTATTTCTTTATTGATCTTTTCTCTGGATGTTTCATCAATTATTGAAATTGTGATATTAAAGTCCCCATAATTATTGTAGATCAATATTTCCTCCTTTCAATTATGTCAAGGTTGGTTTCATAAATTTAGGAGCTCTCAGGCTCAGTGTGTATATATAAAAATATATATATATGTATTTATAAGTATTGTATCTTCTTGGTGAATTGACCCTTTTGTCATTACATAGTGCCCTTCTTTCTCTCTTGTGACGGCTTTCAACTCAACATCTCTTTTATCCAATATCAATATAGTCACTTGCTGCTCCTTTTTTAATATTTGCATGAATTGTCTTTTTTTTTCATTCTTTCTCTTCCCCAGTGCATGTCTTCGGATTTATAACAAGTCTTGTGTAGACAGTATATAGTTGCATCTTGTTTTTTCATCCATTCTGCCAAAATATATCTTATGATTAGCAATTTACTCTTGCCATTTTGCTAATTTTTTGTCTATGTCTTATAGTTTTTTTTCCTTTATTTCTCCCTTACTGCCTTCCTTTGTGTTCAGTTGATTTTTTAGTGACATTTATTTGATTTTCTTCTTATTTCTCTTTGTATACATTCTCTAGATATATCTTTTTGTGTTACCATAGGGATTACATAAAACAGTTGTTAGAAAAATCAATTTTAAACTGATAGCAACTTCAGTCACATACAAAAACTCTACTCCTTTATAACTCTCTTCACACTCCCATTTTATGTCACAAATTATCTTTCTATATTGTGTACCCATTAACATAGATTTATAGTTATGCTTTTTAAACTTTAAATCCTATTAAATAATTAAAAGTGGCATTACAAATAAGAATTATAATACCACAATTTTAAATATTTGTCCATACATTTATCTTTACCAAAGAACTTTATATTTTTATAAGGCTTGAAGTTACTGCCTAGTGTCCTTTGTTTCAAGTTGAAGGACTTTCTTTAACATTTCTAATAGGAATGGTGTAGTGGTTACTATCAAGCAAGTGACATCAGTTGCCTGTCACGAGGAGTGAAAACCCTGACACTTCTGCCTACTGCATCTTGGTATTGGAGTTGCCAAGGAAAACACAGTACAGCCAATCACCGAATAGATTAATGCTTTACTCACATAGAGTAGAGGCAGAGCATGATCAGCTCCACTACTGGTCATAGGTCTCCCATGGCCAGCAGGTCCTGCCCAGCAGCTGACACAGGACAACTTGTCTGTACATACCTCTCTTGTGCTACAGAAGGACCCTTCCCCTCCCTGCAGGGGACAAATGTAGTATCAGGTTTGGCTAGGTGCCATAATATGTGCAATTTTAAGATGAAAAGAGAAATACACATTGAGTCTGAAACAGGCTAAGATATTCCCACACAGGTGATAATCCCAATACAGGATATGAAGATTCTTTATTCTCTTGGTAAAAAAGTGGTCCAGACCCTAGGCCCATTGTCACATGGCCAAGTGAGGGTCAAAAGATTGCATGCACAAGACTGCCTTTCCCAACAGTAACGAACTCCTCAGTTTTTATCTAGAAATGTCTTACTTCTTTTCATTTTTTGAAAAGCAGATTTGCTGAATACAGTATTCTCAGTTGACAGGATTTTAAAAAATCAATTAAATATATCATTCCACTGCCTTTTGCCCTGCAAATTTTCTGATGAGAAATCCACTGTTAATATTATAGATTTTCTTGTACATACTGAGTCACCTTTCTCTTGCTGCTTTCGAGATTCTCTTTGACTTTTGACAATTTGATTATAATATGTCTTAGTGTGGATCTTTGTGGATCCATCCTATTTAGAATTTACTGAGCTTCCTGTATTTGTACATTCATTTCTTTTTTTTTTTTTTTTTTTTGGAGAGGGAGTCTCACTCTGTCACCCAGGCTGGAGTGCAGTGGTGTGTAATCTTGGCTCACTACAACCTGCCTCCTTGGTTCAATGACTCTTGTGCTTCAGCCTCCCGAGCAGCTGGGACTACAGTCACCCAGGCTGGAGTGCAGTGGTGTGTAATCTTGGCTCACTACAACCCCTGCCTCCTGGGTTCAAGTGACTCTTGTGCTTCAGCCTCCCGAGCAGCTGGGACTACAGGCATGCACCACTACACACGGCTAACTTTTTTTTTTGTATTTTTAGTAGAGACAGCGTTTCACCATGTTGGACAGGCTGGTCTCGAATTCCTGGCCTCAGGTGATCTGCCTTCCGTGGCCTCCCAAAGTACTGGGATTACAAGTGTGAGCCACCGCGCCCAGCCTGTATATTCATTTCTTTCCTCATACTTGGGAAGTTTTCATCCATTGTTTCTTCAGATAAGCTCCCTGTCTCTTTATTTCTCTCTTCTTGTGTTAATTCCATAATGTATATGGTTCACTTGACAATGTCCCATATGTCCCTTAGGTTCTGTTCACTTTACTCATTCTTTTTTCTTTTTGCTCCTCAGATTCAACAATTACAAATGACATATCTTCAAGTTTACTGATTCTTTCTTCTGCCTGATCAAGTCTCCATATAGTACATTTTTCAACTAAGTTATTCTGTTTCTCAGGTTCAGAATGTTTGTTTGTTTTTTGTGATTTTAAAATTATCTCTTTGTTGATATTCTCATGTTGTTCATAAAATATCTCCCTTAGTTTGCTTATTTATCTGTTCACGTTCTCCTTCAGCTCATTGAGCATACTTTAGACATCTTTATTGTTTGAACATCTTTATCAAATAATCCTAAATTCTGCTGTTCTTTAAGATCAGTTTCTGGAGATGTATTTTGTTCCTTTGAAGGGGCTATATTTTCCTGTTCTTTTGTATATATGCCTTGGATCTTTTGTTGAAAATTGAGCATTTGAAAAAAGTAGCCTTGTCTCCTAGCTTTTTGTGGACTGGCTCTGTGCAGGGGAAGACCTTTACTAATCATCCTGGCATAGAGGCACAGGCTTCTTTCATACCTTTACTGGAGATGTGTCTTTCCTTGCCTTGTGTGTATGCTTTTGTTCCAGTTCCCCATTTAAAGACTGCCTTAAATGTCTTAATTTCCCTATGAGGCATATTGCTGCTTCTTCTTAGAGGTCGGGGAATTTTTATTATATTCCTTTGTCTATAATCTGTGCCACCAGGGGGTCTTCTGACCTCCTGTGGCTCTTAGTCACCATGGTGCCTGTCACTGTTTTAAATGACCTTGAGCCTGCTATTCAAACTATACCACCATTCCCATCAACGTTTTGAATCAGGCAAGATAGAAATAGTCTGCCAGTCAATCTCCAGATAAGCTTCTCTCTTCCTCTTCCAGTTTGAGGCCAGAACTTGGATTGGGCAAATTCCTCCTGATCACACCACACTACGTTGAAGACGAGGTAGGTTAAGGGCAAGAAAAATGCCATGAAATTTCGTATTGCTTCTATGTGGCTTTTTTTCAGTTAGGCATTTGCTTTGTTGCTGCAGCTTCTTAGCTAATTTTAAGAGTTCTTACAAAGCAACTTTGGTCTATGTATTTTTTATTTGACATTTTTATGGGAAAATATGGCCCTGGAACTTCCTAGTCTGCTACTTGCTGATATATCTTTAATGAATGAAATAAATTAATAAAATCAGAAACAGGACATATTTTATAATATAAATATACAATATCTTAAGAAGAACAATTTGGACAATGGCATGAATGTTAATCCTTCTCTTTTAGCAAAAACGTTTCCACATTATTAACAGCACTCCCTCTCTCAGAGAGTGCCAAAGTAGAGTTCTTTTAGTATTGGAGACCCAGCTCTTAGTGTTTAGGTTTATGTACATCTGCTGTCCTTCTGAACAGTATATTACTTCAAAGTTAATCATTTATTACCTACTTCTAAAAGAAGCAGTAGCTTCTAGTTAACATAGTTGTCAACTGCTTAGATTTAAAATAATACAACGTAATTTAATGTCTGACTGTGATAAATGCCTGTGAGATTTGCCTCCAGATGCAGTCACTAGTCCCCCCTTCCTGGGCATCCTTCTCTCATGCCCTGTTCTCCAAAGGCCCCCAAACCTTTACTTCCCAAGGAGGAGTATATTAGTCTGTTTTCACACTGCTGATAAAGACATACCTGAGACTTGGTAATTTATAAAGGAAAGAGGTTTAATTGACCCACAGTTCCACATGGCTGAGGAGGCCTCAGAATTATGGTGGAAGAGCAAGGGATGCCTTACATGGCGGCACGCAAAAAGAGAATGAGAACCAAGTGAAAGGGGTTTCTCCTTATAAAACCATCAGATCTTGTGAGACTTATTCACTACCACAAGAACAGTATGGGGAAAACTGCCCCCATGATTCAATTATCTCCCACTGAGTCCCTCCCACAATATGCGGGAATTATGGGAGCTACAATTCAAGATGAGATTTGAGTGGGGACACAGACAAACCCTATCAAGGAATTCTTCTAAAGAAGTGGCATCAGATCTTCCTTACTTGCTCATTGTCATGATCCTGCATTTAATTGGTGGGGCAATTCCACATACTGCAGTATCACTGTAACTCTGCAATTCCCCTGAACAGACAGAGCATCCAGGTGAAACTGTATCAAGTCTCCATTAAAAGAAGAAGACAAAATAACAATTTAAAAAGTGTAAGGATGAAAATTTTTGTTTTCTCAGCTATCATATAAGCATTTGTATTATATAAAATTGTAGTCAAATATTATGGAGTCATGTTTGTTAGAGATTTAAAACATGATATAATTGTAATGTATCATATTTAAGCAAATAAGTGATTCTGTACCAGCTACTTGAATTGGACATATTTGATTTTTTTAATGCTAAGTTATAAACAATTTATACATTTTATAAATATGTAGTATCACTTTCAACTCAAATTTTTTGAGAACAATTCCCTAAATGGAAACATTAAAAATCATGGAATGCAATAGAAAGGAAATTACCAAAAACACCTACAAAACATAAAGATGAAATTCAAGTGGTCCAATGGATAGAAAAATGTCCTGGGGTTGAGAAAATTAAGGACCTTAAAAAATTATTGATTAAGTGGCTTCATCCAAGATTACTACTTTTTCAAAAACAAGATATGAGAAGATTTAAATGATGTAGTTCAGAATACTTAGAAATGTATTTCATGGCCTTAAACAGGATAGACTCTTAAAAATAAATGGTCAGATTAACAACTGATGCTGTCCTGCATCCTATTCAAATGGGATTTCAAGCGTTTATGAGCACACCATGGTAGTAAGAAATTGGAAGAAACTGCAACCTTTAGCATGAGGATGTTTGCAAAACGGCGCAAAGTTGGAAGAGGAATAGAAATTACAGAAACATCTCTCTACAGCATTATAATTGCTCAGTGTGTATATTTAGCACTTGATTTCATAGATGAAAAACTGAAACTGAATTTAAGAATAAATGTCTTTATTATTTCTATTTACAGATAGAGAACAGGAATGGAGAATTCAAATGACTCACCAAAGTCACACGGTAATTTTAAGTGTTGAAAATGCGACCCAGATCCAACTCCAATTTTGCAGGTCTGCTTATCCATGTTCTGCCTTTCAGAATCAGGAATAGTCCCTATTGACTCTCAGTAAAAGTGGTGAAAATGCTAAAATACAAGGTCCTCAATGTAGAGTTGAGATTTTCTAAATAAGTTACTTTTTTTTTTTTTTTTTAGAAATAATTTGACAAAAGTGACATTCATTTCTTTCAACAGACGTTGAGTGCTTATTATATGTCCCTGGGTCTGAATATTTTCTGTGTAGTTATTTAAAGTAGTGAATAAACAGAAGCAAATATAGATTACCAATTTACGGAACGTAATGTGTTTGTTAATGGGTGTACCTCTAAATTAATATACTGGATTCTTTCAGATAAATATCATTTCACTGTTTTAATAGATAAACAGATGAGCTCTTTTAGAGGTTAAATAATATTGTCAGCATCATACAGCAAATAGTTGACCCAGACTTGGAACTCAAGTCAGCAAAGATTGTGAATCCCTTAATTTTCAGCGATGTCACACTGAGTGATAGGATCTCTCAGTTTCACTAACAGAAAAGTTGTTGACATATGTAAACTCTAAATTTAATTGTTCATAAGAAACTAATAATTTACATAGATTTGAAATGAATCAGGCATCTAGAAATAAAATGCATTTAAATATTCATTGATGGTCATTTTGGGGACAAAGAGTAAATTTAGTGGCTTACCAGCCACCAAAAATGGGTTTCTGCTGGTTAGAGATGAGACTCAGCTGGGGAATGGGCAGGAAGATTTTAAATGAATGGTACCCATCCTGTGCATTGAACACAAGACCAGAGCGCTTCAGGCAGTTGCATAATCCATTACTCCTGGCCACTCACACAGATGAAGTTATAAAGGGACAAAAAAGTGTGGTATCGAGAATTTGGTTTCTGTACTCAGAGACATCTGGATATGAATTCCAATTTCCCCATTCACCCACTGTTTCTTTGAGTAAGTACTGCTAATCCTTAGTTTCCTAACTTGTAAATTTTGGGTAGTAAGAGCTAGCCATAGTGTTATAAAATAATATATGTGAAACTCCTACACAGGGCCCAACACACCATAGGCACTTGGTGAATATTAACAGTCTCTGAATCTTGCCCTATAATCTCTTACCAGCTGCTCAAGATCTTGGGGACTCTGTGTCCTTATCTGTACAAGAGGGATAACCACAGTACCTGTCTGCTAGGGTTGTTTTAATAATTAAAAAATTTCAAGGATATAAAGTATTTGGTATGTGTTCATGCCCACTTGGGTCACTGGGTTAATATCAGTCATTTTGTTGTTGTTGTTAGATTTTGCACAGATAAGAAAGTCTGAGTGACAAGGAAGCATGAGTTGCCAATGCCAGATAAAGGATTACTGGCAGACCCCGCCAGACAGCAGTATCTCCAAACTCTGAGTTTATTGCTCTTTGTCCTCCAACAAAAAGTTTCACTAAACATTAAGACTGGAAACAAGAAAATCTAGAGACCTAATTGTGCTCCTTCTCATAACTGCCGATTCAGACTCCACAAACCACTGTAGATGGATATGGCTGTGGTCAGTTTACAGTGAATCCAGTAACAAGAATAAGTGTTACTCCTTGGTAAAAGGCAAGGAAACTACTACTGATGCTCGAATTTGAAATATAATTATAAATATATAATTGTAAACACGTTGCCTAACAAATATTCCAATCAAATTTTACAAGTTTGAGTTTCTAAAAGCAATCTTCTGTGAATATTATAATCTTTCCCCCTAGCACACCTGCTGGCACCTGGTAGCACCCTGTACTGTACTACATTTGATGGACAGGAAGCACAGCCTGCTCACACTGGAATGATGTTCCATCTATACATGGATCACTATAAGACTTATTTGTTTAGCAATGTGGTTTCCACTATGTATGTATTTCAGCGTTTTCTTTTATAGACTAGGAAGCCATTTAGTTTTTACTTTAAAGGTGAAAATAAATTTGAATGTACCCCTCTGAATGACAAGTAAAAATATTATTAGTAAAATAATGGATTTATTCCTAAAAAGAATATATTTTTTTCCATAAGCCTTATAGCAAGTAATCCTAAAGAAAAATTGATGAGAGGTAGAATTATGATCATTGCCACAGTCATAATTATGATCATTGCCACAGTCATAATTTAGAGCACACACTACATGGCTAATTCTTAGGTTCTATCTGATGGGCTGTATTTTCTGTGATTAGTCTTTGGAAGCCTGGGCATTAACACCTAAATGATTATGAATATTATTATCAGTTTTAAATAGGACAGTGAACCTCAGTTCAGGTAATAACATTTTTCTTAAAAAGTCAATCTTATTCAACCCAATAGGGCTATGTTTTTTCTTTTTAAAAATTATTTTTAATTGATGCACAATAGTTGTACGTACATATTTATGGGATGCATGTGACACTTTCATACATGCATACAATGTGTAATGATCAAATCAGGGCAGTTGAAGTATCTCTCTTCTCAAATATTTATTATTTCTTTGTGTTGGAAAAATTCCTAATCGTTTCTTCTAGCTATTCTGAAATATAAAATAAAGTATTATTTACTATAGTCACTCTGTTGTGTTATCAAACACTGGAACTTGCTCATCTAACCACATTTTGTACCTCTTAACCAATCACTAGAACTTACTCATTTAACCACATTTTTGTACCTCTTAACCAATCACTAGAACTTACTCATCTAACCACATTTTGTACCTCTTAGCCAATCACTAGAACTTACTCATCTAACCACATTTTGTACCACTTAACCAATCACTAGAACTTACTCATCTAACCACATTTTGTACCGCTTAACCAATCACTAGAACTTACTCATCTAACCACATTTTTGTACCTCTTAACCAATCTGTCTTCATCTCCCTCCTCCCCTTCCCTGCCTTTGGTAACCATTATTCTATTCTCTATCTCCATGAGATCAACTTTTTAGCTCTCACATATAAATGAGATTGTGTCATATTTGTCTTTCTGTGCCTGGTTTATTTCACGTAAAATAGTGTCCTCCAGTTCCATCCATGTTGCTGTAAATGACAGGATTCCTTCTTCATGGCTGAGTAGTGTTCCGTTGTGTGGATACATCACATTTTGTTTATTCATTCATCCATTGATGGACACTTAGCTTGATTCCATAGCTCAACTATTGTGAATACTTCTGCAATAAACATGGGAGTATAGATACCTCTTTGATATAGTGATTTTTCATTATTTTGGGTTTGTGGGATTGTTGGATCATATGGTAGCTATATTTTTAGTTTTTGAGGGACCTCCACACTGTTTTTCATTCCATAGGACTTTTGACCAATACAGATGACATACAACCTGGATGAACTGGAACTTGAGAACTGGAATTATAAAGACTACAGAAATACATATAATTTTTCCAAAAGCTGTAGAAAATATTTCACATTATTCTTATCTGTGGAAACACAGAAAATACAGAAGCACGCATTAGCTTTTCCAGGCATTCTGAATCACAGAAGCTTAAAAGTAAAATGGATCTTAAAGATCCATTCTAAGGCAGATCAACATTCCACTCAGTCCAAAACCCACATCCACAGTGTTCCAGATGCATAGCGTACTCATTTCCTCACAGGCATCTGGAGATGGAGAGCCCCTCATAATAAAAGCTTACTTTTTAAATTAAATTAAATTTTATTTTATTTTATTTTATTTTATTTTATTTTATTTTATTTTATTTTATTTTTTGAGACAGAGTCTAGCTGTCACCCAGGCTGGAGTGCAATGGCGGATCTCGGCTCACAGCAACCTCTACCTCCGGGTTCAATCGATTCTCCTGTCTCAGCCTCCTGAGTAGCTGAGATTACAGGCATGGGCCACCATGCGCAGCTAATTTTCTATTTTTAGTATTTCTACTAAAACCCATTTCTGGGGTTTCTCCATGTTGGTCAGGCTTGTCTCGAACTCCTGATCTCAGGTGATGAGCCACCGTGCTCGGCTGGCAAAAGCTGACTTCTATTAAGGGCTTACCACATGACCATAGGTAAAGGAGGGCAAAAACTATCGTTCATTTTACTTCCTTAAATAGGCAATGCAAATGAAACAGCAATAAATTCATTGCTTAGGTTTTCAGAAAAGTTTTTACAGTTTCAGGAATGGTATCTCAAAGGAAAGACAATTCTATGAACTTACCACAGTTTGTTTAACCATTCACTGTAGGAAAACATTTGGGTTATTTCCAGCTTTTGGTTAATACAAGTAAAGTCACTATGAACAACTGTACATATGTTTTCATGTGAGCAGAAATGTTCATTTCTCTGTAATAGTGTAATGCCTAAAACTTTTATTGCTGGGCTGTATGATAGGTATGTGTTTAGTTTTATTTTAAAAACACCATATAGTTTTATGAAAGCACCATCTGTTTTATAAACACCACCTACTCTTAAGTCCTGAAGACTTTCTCCTATGTTTATTTTTCTAAAATATTTATAGTTTTAGGCCAGGTGCGGTGGCTCATGCCTGTAGTCCTAGCACTTTAGGAGGCTGAGGAGGGCGGATCACCTGAGGTCAGGAATTGGAGACCCCATCTCTACTAAAGATGCAAAGATTAGCCGGGCATGGTGGTGGGCGCCTGTAATCCCAGCTGCTCTGGAGGCTGAGGCAGGAGAATTGCTTGAACCTGGGAGGCGGAGGTGGCAGTAAGCCGAGATGGCGCCACTGCACTACAGCAGGGAAGAATTTGTGATCCATTTTTAGTTCATTTTTGGTAAGGTCTGAGATTGAATGTAAAGTTCATTATTTTATCCATGGATGCATAGTAATTGTCCCCAACACAATTTATTGAAATGCTATCCTTCCTCCATTTAATTGTTTTTACAGATTCATTTGGCATAATTGTGTGGGTCTATTTTTGGATTTTCTAGTCTGTTCCTTTGGTCTGCATGTCTCTGCCTCTGTCGGCACCACATTGCATTGTTTTCTGTAGACATATAGCAACACCAGGCACAGGGATTCCTCTCACTTTACTCTTTGAAAATTGTTTTCACTATTTTTGGTCCTGTGCCTTTCCACATACGTTTTAGAATAAACTTGTTTATGTCTACAAAACACTTTGTTGGGACTTTGATAAAAATTGCACTAAATCTATAAATCAACTTTTAAAGCATTGACATCTTTAATATGTTG